AAGGAAAAAAGAGCGTGCACAGAATTTCAACTGGTTTTCATTCAAGGATGTTCTCCTCACTCCCTATTTTATCCCCTTACCCTCCCCCAAATAAAGAGGTATGTCTAGAAGAATATTACAGATATTTTTTGTAAAAAGCCATATTTTAGAGTGCAGTTTATTCTGTTTTTAATGTTCAGTTGTATAACCCAAAACTCATTGCCATTAAGTAGATTCCAACTCATAGTGACCCTATAGGGCAGAGTAGAACTGCCCCAAATGGTTTGCAAGGAGCGGCTGGTGGGTTCGAACTGCCGACCTTTTCATTAGCAGCAAAACAATTAACCACCACGCCACCAGGGCCCTGTTCACTTCTACACTAGTAGTGAACTGCTTTGCATCATGTAGTTTTAAACAAATACTGCAACTTTAACAGAACAATCAAGTGCAATTTTGAGCGAATACTTACAGTTTTAATAGAAGGATGAAGTCATCCATAAATTGCATTTACAAATTTTTGTCTGGTAGAATTTTTTCTCCAACTTCTTCCTGGTGGACTTTCTTAGATGTCTTGCATGAACATCTATGACTAGTTCATCTGTCCAGTTTCTCTACTCTCTGCTCCCATCTGACTCCTATTGCCTAGTGTTGAAAAAGTTACACAGTATTGCAACCAACATAGCACCCATAGTTTAAAGTCAGATTGTTCTATCAGGCTTATAATGAAAAACATTAGCCCTGCCCTGACTCTCCACTCCTACTTGTCTATCCTCATGCAGCTCCTCGAGGCAAGCGCTTTCAAATCTGTAGGTGTTTCTACCAGTGGACAACTCTGTGTTTCTCAGTAATGTGCTGGTACTGCTCTTTCTTAATATACCAGGTTTAGACCTCGTGTACCTACTTCCTCTGATGGTAGATGAGGATTTAGCTTTATTGTCTTCACTTGTCCTTCACATACAGTTATATAGCAATTTTTGATAAAATTAAATAGCCAATGTTTCCATTACTTTGAATATGTAAATATTGTTAAGTGCTGAATCAGGCTATAAACTCATAATTTTTTAAATAACTTTTTTGTTTTTCTTGGACTTAATTACTTTACTTTTTTGTTTTCTTAATAATGTATGTACCTATCAATTAAAGGAGACCTGGTGGTGAAATGGTTAAGAGCTCAGCTGCTAACCGAAAGGTTGGCAGGTCAAACCCAGGAGAAAAGACCTGGCAATCTGCTCCTGTAAAGATTTACAGCCTTGGAAACCCTATGGGGCAGTTCTGCTCTGACCTATAGGGTCTCTGTGAGTCAGAATCAACTGACGGCATGCAACAACAACATTGTTAATTATTACTAAACTCATGGATAAGATTAGCACACCCTCTTAATACTATTGCCCACATGGTCAAATTTATGAGGTAATCTGGCAGTTCCTTTATTTTTCTTGAAGCCATCCCTTCTTGAGTTTTCCCATGCTCTTGTTCTAGTCTGGCCTGGTTGGTCACGGGATCTGCCATAGAACTGTTGTCTTGCCTGGACATCCCCTTTGCCTCCCTCCTCTGCTTGATCCCATGTCTGTTTAATCTGAGTTTCTTCCACCTTCCAGACATTTGTTTTCATCTCTTCTTCCACATGTGAGGCTTTCCTTAACCCTTTGGTAATGCTTGGCTATCCATTCACTTCAGAGTGAGCTATACTCTCTGTGAGTGGGGCTTGTCAACTAGCTAGGGTGAAAAGGGGGCAAATGCAACTTATCTTTTATATTGGGAATTCCTTATGCATCTGAAGGTCTTTTCTCTGAGGCTGTTTAGGTTCTGTGGAAAAAGAAACTCTCCAGTCCCTTGTGTTGGAGGGCTAAGCCCAATAAGCCTATCAGTGTTCTGGGAGCAAAGAGGTGACTGTGTGCGAATGGGTCTCACTGTTCAGAACTCAGACTTTCCTTTAATATACCTCTCTTCAGTCTGGCACCTTATCTTCACTCTCCATTAAGTATGGAACCCTTTATTCTGGACTCTCTCCAGTTCATCTTCCCAGGCTAAACTTCCTGGTTTTTGTTGGTTGGGGAAGGTATAGTTACTTGGCTGCACAGGGTGGGGCAGGGCCCTGGGCAGCCTACCTGCTCTCTGTACAGACTTTCAAACAAGCTCCCAACTTTTAGTCCCACACTTCATGGCCTGCAACCCCCTTCCTCTGTCTTTGGTGCTTTCTACTTAAGGCTTTCTGGAGTTCTGTGGGCACTAGAATTTTTACTTATTCCACTCTGTAACCATTTGTCATTCTTCTGTTCCACTTTTTTCTACAAACAAGTTGAAATCTCTCCTCTGCTCTTGTCTTCATTCCTGTTTGTCTTTTCAGGTCTATATGTTGAAATTTTCTTTATTGAAATTTTCGTTTAAAGACATGGGAAGAGAAAATTCCATGTATTTCTACTATAAGAATTATCCATTCTTAAAGTAGATAATTGTGATTTTTTTTTAACTAAAGAATTTAGCAGTATTTACTGAGAAGCGTAATTGTGCCCTTGTTGTGTATGAGATCAGACCATTCGGCATTATAACGAGGTCATATCCGTAGAACCTTAGAATTGGAAGGGCCCCCACCTAGTGCAGAGTCTCCTCCGTGTCATCCTGCAGGGCGGATCCTTAGTGTCTGCAAGCACACTTCTAACCAAAGAGACCTCACTCGTCTAAAAAGAGTGAGTTTCAAAACCATGTTGTTGTTTTAGCTGTCAAGCCAACCCTTTATTTTTCAAACAAAATACTGAAAAATCCAATATTTAAAATCATAAAAAACGAACTGCTAAGGAAGGGGGAGAGACGGGGCACCGCCTGCTGGGCTTCCATCCACTTCATCTCCTTCTGTTGCCCCTGAGCCGCATTCGCTGAACGTAAGGAGCACCGTTTTGAAACCACTGCCTGCAGAGCTGGTGACTCCCTTGTTGACTAGTCCTCTTCTCAGATTGAACTTTCTACACTGTTACCAGCAGTTTGTAACGTGGAGCCGTATACTGTTGCCAGCAGTTAGCACACATTTTAACAGTGCTGCCATGCGTTCATTTTAGCTTCAATGCCCTGGCAGAAAGGTGATCTCAGAATTAGAATTATTTTTCCAACTACCTTTCTTATAATACTCCATTTATTTCTAAATACTGGAGGTGAGAAACACTCTGCTATTACTATAACAGAGAGATTCACCATTCATGAATCCTTATCTTTAAAAGCAACAAAATCCTGACATACGATGATGTCGTTTTGGGACCTCTGGAGTCTAAATTGATTAAACAATTTCATTATAACAATTCTTAGAGCTATTAATGTGACAGAGGTGTTTAAAATAAGATCACAGAAATGAATTTCATGTATTGTGAGACATCCTTGTACCATATATTTTTGTTTCTATATTTACAGATACAGGAACATCAGTAATCTCAAGTATTCTGTATACCATCCTTATTCTTATTGTCTTGATCATCGTGTTATCTATTTATTTTTTGAAAACCACTGGCTCCAGGTATTGACTGATTTTTTTTTTTCCTTCTTATAGCTTTGTCGAAGCTAGAAAAGTATCAGAAATACAGAATTGACTGACTAGGTAAAATTAAGATGTTAACATCAGTTCTCCCATAATCAGGAAGAGTATCCTGAAGCTGTTAGAATGGACTTAGTTTGATTTAAGAAGGATTTTGTAGATTACTGAGACATGTAACATGATGAATTAGGCCATATAGGGAAGGGTCTTGGGAGATATGGTGTCTGCTAATTTTCTATTTAAGAAAAGAATTACAACAAATCTTTCATGTATCAAGAGGTGTTGTATATATTGTATTACATCAAACTTCTGATCTTAATTCCTTTTCTAAAATCTGGAATTATCTTATTTGGTGCATATGTGTATTAACTCCAAGCAGCATTCTCCACTTATTTCTGATCATTTATTTCTGATTTATTATGACTTCTACCAAAATCAACCACAAACATCAATAGTATACTATTTTTTTTTCCATTTTCAATTAAATAATGAGTTTTATGCATTCACTCCAGTTTGTTTTTCCAGGAAATGTAAACCAATGAAAACGGAAACTATTCAAGTTTCTGCGGAGGTAAGATGAAAAAGAATACTTGCACAGCCTAGAAATCTAGTCACATAATTTTCAGTTTGCATCACTATTAGTGTTTTAGTTGAAAAGTGAAAAGTCTGGCCTGAGACTGCTGACAGCCAGGTGTACTCCTTTTGCTAATTAACTACCACGTACTGTTTGCACCACCGCAAAAGCCGTGTTTTCATCCCGTGAATTATCGCATCCTGCACAACACATCTTGTTCGCCTAGTTTGGACTGTCATCTTCAGAGAATTGGTGTTTCCTCCTCCATGAAATGACCTCTAGTCCTTGACTTCCCTTTTTCAGTGGTGATACCATCACCATTTCCTTCTTACCTGAGCTTACAGCCTATTCTGCTCCTTAATCTCCTCTAAGCAGTAGCTCACTGAGTCTTACCAACTCTCTGCTTTGAAGTACTTCTCATATCACTTCTTTCTCCATTCCTACTTTCACACAATTTTTATCATCTCACACTGGGACTTAAGTTATCAATAAATATGTATTTTTTATAAAATACAAGAATAAAGTCCCATTTTTATGTTCACGTGAGCCCAGAGACACAAATACAAGCATTATGAGCTAAAGCTGTGGCAACCTGTTGGAAAAACATAGTTTCTGTGATGATTTTCTGGCTTTTAAAAATTGATTTTGGCATTGAGTTCTTTCTTAGGATGAAATGCAGCCCTATGCCAGCTATACAGAGAAGAACAATCAACTCTATGATACTGTAAACAGGGTGATGACATCTCAGGGGTTACAAACTGAAGTTGCTGGGATGGATCTCCATACATTATACGTTGTTGGAATCTAGCACTAGGACAAATGAATCAAGATACGGTACAATTACTGCATTAATTTTCTAATAATTCTAGAATGGAAGACCCATTTTGAAATTAAGAGTTTTTCAAAGGTTCTAGAAGACAAAGACACTCTAATGAATGTGCATTCATATCCTTCAACAATTGGGACTTTAGAATCTTGGCTGCTATCAGCTAGTTCTCTAAAAAGCTGATGTTATTTTTACAAAGAAAGCAATGTTCATGATAAAATATTAAAAATGTACAGTACAGTAAATAATGAAAACCTAGTTTCCTCAAGAAGTAAGTCTCAGGAGGAACAATCATCAACAGTTTCTCATGTGTTCTTCCAGAAAGTTTCTATGTACATGTGACATATCTATATGCCTATAGATATATTGTGCATTTATATGTCTGTTTACATATATATACACATACTCTGATTAAGACACAAATGGGGACATATTATACACACTGTTCTGTACTTACGAAGAGCTGATAATATAGTATGTTTTAGAGAACTTTTCATATCAACAGAAACAGAGCTACCTTATTCTTGTTAACGGCTACATAGAATTACATTTAATTAACCACACCCCTAGTGATTGTTCATAGATATGTCAAATTGTATCAATTTATTTTCTCTCTAACAATGTTTGAATGGGCCTTTCCTTATGCTGAAGAACCGAGTTTTTATTGAATTGTTATTTTAATATCTGCAGCATTACCATTTCCTCCTTTTAAATCAACCAGTTAACTAATATAATGTAAGATTGTAGTAAGAATTATACTATTTAATCAAATTTGGTTTATATTTTTCTGTCATGTTTATGAAAGTGTATTATGTGTGTGTGTGAGAGAGAGAGAGGGTGAACACGTGTGGGGAACGTTAGTGTCTTCTAAACTTGTTATGTCTCTACAGAGGTATAGATTTCCAATACATAACAGTTTTACAGCTGTAATAAACTGGAAATGTGTATTTTTATGATGTACATTATATTGTGATGTATATATCAAATAACAAATGTTTATTGACTGTATAAACAACTAAATATATATTATGGCAGACATGGGGTGTCTATAAAATGTGGTTTATGTGCTAAGAGAATGGCCGTGGGAATGACATCTGTTTTTCTGTGGAGTAAAATAGTGGGAATGTGTGTACGAATCATTTTTTTAAATTATAAAAAATTGTGCTTCTGTTTGTTCCCTGGCAGGAAAATCACTAGACTTTTTTCATCATAATAGAAATTAAAACAAAATCCATTCATTCTTCCATTGTGCCATTTTTACAGCTATTTTATCTTATTAGTATGTTTTCCTCCCCCCGCCCCCATTTTAGTTACTCTAGGCTTTATTCTTAAAGTGATTTTTAGTCTATTTGGGATACATAACTAATATAAGGACAGTTGGCACATGGTGTTTTGACTAAATCATTTTGACTTGGCTAAATAACCAATCCATTATATTTCAACATATAAATATTACCAAGCAGTGTGTACAATAGACATCATAAATCTATCCTTGACCTTTTATTAGTTGTTTATTCATCCCTGGTTGGGTTGAGGTTCACATTAGTTAGGTTCAAGAACATATGTTTAAATACTACTGAAAATAACAAAACAAAACCTAAAATCCATCTTAATATTGTCAAAACAGCCATGTCAAACAATACCATAGTAAAAACAAGTTAGTTTTTAAGTGCTCAATTGTATTGTCCAGGAAATACATGTATTAGAGTCTCCCAGAATTGGAGTGTTGAATGTGGTTGAACATTAGACTTACATGCAAAGATTAAAAAATTATAGTTTCCCCAAATGCAGTCTAGACCTGCTGAATCAGATCTAGAGATTGGACCAGCTGTGTCAGGTTCCCCAGGAAGCAGAGGCAGAGATGGAGTTAGGAGTGACAAAGGTTAATTGGAGGAGAAAGGTTATATCTGTGAAAGATTAAAAGGAGAGGAAGCAAGTCAAAGATTGTCAAAGTCTTGACCAAACCAACGGGGAGCTCTGGAGCAAAGATTGCTCTTTAGAAGAGTCTTTCATGCACAGAAATGGCCAAGCCCTGATACCCTACCATGATTAGCCATTGTCTGGGAGCTGACCAGGAAGAGCAGGACCTTAGCTCAGAAGCTGAACTAGATCCTGAAGTGGCTAATAGCTGGAGACATCAGCTAGCTGCTCTACTTTCTTGAAGGGCGATCTGAGAGGCGCACTTCCAGAGATGCGCTTTCCATCCTTTCACTGGTTAGTATTTGCCTGGTATGTCATCATCTGTCTCTCTATTTTCAACTCTTCTGTGGGATTTTATTTCAGGCATACCTTTTATAAAGAAGCATTAGCTTTTTTAATGAAGAAAATATAGCTGATTTTTATTAACTCATTTGAAAATGTTATCTTTTAATCCAAAAAGAAAAACCTGTTTTTGTCAAGTTGATTCTGACTTATGCTGACCCCATGTGTGTCAGAGTAGAACTGTGTTCCATAGGGTTTTTCATTGGTTGACTCTTTGGAAGTAGATCACCAGGACTTTCTTCTGAAGCACCTCTGGGTGGATTTGAACTTCCAACCTTTTAGTTAGCAGCTGAGCACATTAACCTTTTGCATTACCCAGGGACTCCTACGTTTAATAAGGAAATTTAAATCATGCACAACTGTTGAGATTTCTTACATATTTGATCAAATTTTTATAATCTTATTTTTTATTTCTCATTCACTCTGCATTCTTTGTTTTCTTTTGTTTTTTCCTTTACTTTGCTGGCTCAGTGGTTAAGAGCTCAGCTGCTAAC